TATCAATCACGTGGCCTAGAAACGTCGCACTGTCTTTCCAAAACTTGCACTTAGAGAACTTGGCGTACAACTGCTTTTCCCGCAAGATTTGAAGTACCGTCCGAAGATGTCAAATATGCTCTCTCTTATCTTTTAAATAAACCAAGATATCGTCGATGAACACGATCACAAAATCATCGAGGTGGGGTTTGAACACTCTGTTCATCAGATCCATAAAAACTGCAGGAGCATTAGTCATCCCAAACGGCATAACTGTAAACTCGTAGTGACCGTACCGAGTCCGAAACGCAGTCTTAGGAATATCCTTGTCTGCTACCCTTATCTGATGGGTACCCTGACCTCAAGTCAACGTTGGAGAACAATCCCGCACCATGGAGTTGATCAAACAAGTTATCTATTCTTGGAAGAGGGTATTTGTTCTTGATGGTAACTTGATTCAGCTCCCGGTAGTCGATACACAACCTCATACTTCCGTCCTTCTTCTTTACAAACAACACCGGAGCTCCCCAAGGCGATGCACTTGGCCGGATATAACCCTTATCAAGGAGTTCTTGCAATTGAGCCTTCAACTCTTGCATTTCAGGCGGAGCCAAACGATATGGGGCTTTAGAGATGGGTGCAGTGCCCGGCATGAGATCCACTGAAAACTCCACTTCCCTAGTAGGCGGCTTACCCGGTATTTCTTCGGGAAAAACATCAAGAAACTCACGGACTACGGGAATAGATTGAGCTACCTCTCATTTTGCCTTCAAGTTCTCGACGGAGCACAAGTACACATCATTGCCCTTGTCCATATACCTCTTCATCTTTACCATAGACACCAGCTTAATTCCGGGTTCTTCCATCTTCCCGCAGTATGACACTCTTTTCCCACTGGGTCCTCGTAGCACCACCTTCTGATCCTTGCACAAGATTTGGGCTCTAAACCGCCCCAACCAGTCCATACCTAGGACCACATCCATCCCATCCAAGTCATACTGGATTAGATCACTCGGGAACTCTTCTCCTTTGATACAAATCTTGATGTCCTCAAAAAGACGGTCACACATCCTAACTTCTCCCGATGCTACCTTCACGTTAAACCTCACTCCAGCGCCCCCAGATAAGCCTAACTTCTTCACGAGGCCGGATGATATAAACGAGTTAGACGCCCCTGAATCGTACAAGACTGTTGCTGGCACAGATTGCACGAGGAAGGTTCCCACTACTACGTCACTGTCACTTGTTCGGACTTCATTTAAGGTAAGCACCCTCTCTTGAGATGACCCCACCACCGGATGATGAACTTCTATCCTCCCATACTCTCTTACATCACGGTGTGCTGGCAAAGCCGCTGCACTAGGACTTACCCTTGTGGACGTACCACTCCGGATCCACCGCTCAATTACCCCAGAAGCATTGCTAGCTTCGCTCAACCGAGATTTTTTAACCACTTCACCCACATCTTCAAACACTGAGGTTCGCTGACGAGGAGGCATCACAGACTTCTACTACAACAACAAGGTTTCCAAAAGAGCAAGCAAGCAAGCAAGACAGAAAGCAACACACATCTCACCGCGCAACCTAGAATCCTAAGCCTAACACTTAGCTTCCTAAGGTCGCTTAGAGGTCTCAAAAACACACTTAAACACTTAGAAAGTCTAGACTTAACTCTTCCTAGGCTCTAAACCAATGCTCAAAACCTAGGCTCTGATACCAACTGTAACACCCCCCAAAACAACAAGACCTAAAAACAAGTCTTAACACATGCAGATTAACAACAAAACTAGCACAGCGGAAGATAAACGGAAACTGGATAAAAGAAATCCAAACAGGGGTGTTATGCCATGTATACCACACTAGGTAACGCTAAGGCGACAATCTGCAAGTGTATCACACTAACCCAAAACATCAATCTAAAACAATCTAAAACCATTGGCGCGTAGGACACCAAAACACAGTCTAAAGGTACAGGTGCTAAGCTACCAGGCTCTAGACATCGCGCTCGACTACTCAACACCTAAAAGAACACAAAGATAAACATCGGGGCGACGCCCGGTCAGCGAAAGATGTTGGTAACCCACCAATACCGTTAAGTATCATAAATAGGTAGATATAAGATATAAAAACCATTTTCAAAATGGAATACATATATATAAGTCAAAAGGCAAGATAAAAAGACAACACAAGACTCACCACTCACAAAGATAACATCGGGAACACGTCCCAACCACAAAGGTTAACCACACACAAGGATAAAAACTCAGCCAACGGCAACACATGCCAAACAACACAAGCCTCCGTGACTACACACGTCACGAGAGAAGATCACACAACAACGGCTACACAAGCCCTCGTGACATCACCCATCACGAGTTGATATGCCTTCCTTATGCCCTGTTCCAACCTTATGGTTACCCCAACCTTGTACCTTCAAGCCAACCACTACCTCCAGAAATCCCCTCTACAACCAAGTCCAACCTTATTCCTCCGGGACCGTCGTCCCCCACCAACAGACCACCAACGAACCACCACCAATCACGGCAACACATGCCTGGATAACACAATGTTTTCCCCCAATCACGTGAACCTTTATCGAAGGAACACAACTCCATAATCACGTCACGGCCACCACGGGGACCGCTGCAATACCTTGGTGACTAGCGTCCCATACCACTAATCGTGCAATCCAGGTAGAGCTACACACGCACCACCACTCACACGAATCAATCAACGGATTGCAAAGAAGGTATGGAACTTACTCAATCAACGAACGGGTCACAACCCAACGACAACAACGATGAATAACACGAGTTATCATCAACCAAACAGAAGGTACAAACAACACACACGCTAGCATTAAGACAAAAAACTAGCATGCTTATCAACGGGGAAACTCAAGATAGTTTCGAAGAACACACAAGACACCTCTTGGTTCAACGAAACACAATGTTGAACACTTAGCATGATTCAAGACACCAAAGATCCTACATGGATACCTACCATATAGCTCTAGACCTACAAAACATCAAGAAGACACTCAAATAGTTCCACAAAAGAACATCGGGAAGCCAAAAGATCAAACACCAAGACAACCGAATCACGGGGAACAAATCCCGAACCAAACGCCACCGTGTACCCCGCGGGTGGACCCACGGGTAGGCCCCTACCTGTGGTTCTGCCCGCGGGTATAACACCCACATTCCCATGTACCTGCGGGTGGGAGGCGGGTAGGGCTCTCCCCGCCGTTGCGCCCGCGGGTACATGCTCCTGTGTAAAACAATCCCTTCGGGGATTTTCTCCTCCAAACACAAATTCAAGTCCAAAACACACCAAATCTCACCAAAGACAACAAAATGACTTGAACCAAGGAACATGCCAAGTAATAGCACAAAGGAACCCTAAACACAAGCTCTAGATATGCAATATCACAAGATAAATGCATAAACACTCACATTTCATAGCAAAACACAGGTAGAGTCCAAGAAATCATATATAGGTAAGCAAAATAGGTTTTGTAGAGCATGGGTTACCTCTTGAAGACCAAAAGACTTCTCTTACACCACAATAAGCTCTCCACTAAACTCACTAGCCAAACCCACTTCAAGATCAAACCAAAAGATCATAAAGATCCTACCTTTAAGAAAAAGACAACTAAGATGGAACCAAAAAGACTAGACAAGCTTAGATCTTACCCTTCTAGATGCCCAAATAGGTGAAAGATTGAATCTTGGAAGCAAAACATGGAATCTTGACAAAGGTCTCACTTGGCTTGAAGAACAAGCCCACTACAAAAAAACACGAAAATAGCGACGGACTTTTCCGTCGCTGAAAAGCAAAAAATCCATCGCTAAACTATCTAGCGACGGATATGGTCCGTCACAAAAAGGCTCCTCGCTAAAATTTTGCGACGCAATATAATTTCGTAGCTAATTTTAGCTACGGATATTTTCGTCGCTAAATTTTAAAAGTCCATCGCTATTTTCCTCTTCGCGACGATTTAGATGAGGAATTTTATAAGAGAATAGTTACGGAATTTTCCGTCGCTATATTAAATAACGAATTTTTCCGTCGCTAAACTAAAAGAAATCTGTCACTATTTTTTCTCTCACGACAATGTGAATGACGAAATTTTCAAATGAACGGCGAATATTTCCGTCGCTATTTTATTGCTATTCTTTATTATTAAATAGCTATTATTTATTATTAAAATGTATTTGGATACTGATTTACTAAGATTTTTTGTTCGTCATTAAATTTTTATAATTAAAAAAATCTGCTGACTAATTAATATACTTGAATAATATAATTGCAAATATATTATATTAAAAAATTTAAACTCAATAACAATAACAAAAGTATAATACTGTAACAGTATCGCGGCCATTAAAGAAACAAGAATCAATAAGTTCATGCCCCTGAGAATCCACTTGTGAAGTATTTGTATCAGCACGCCGAACTTCAAGCTTAAGCCTTCTCTTGCTCTGCTGTAGACCCACCGACATCATTTTGCAAGTCTTCCATTCAGTGCTAAGTCCAAGATGTGCAAATCACTCGGAAGTGAATTTATGTCATTACAAAGAATAGCATCAATCGATTCATAGAAGGTAATCATATTAGTAAATAACATTCAATTTTATCAAAACTCCATTTTTTCACATATGATTGCAGTTTCTGTGCTGAGAGAAACTAATAAAACAAGACTAGTTAAACTACGTACTAATGTACATGAGGCACGATAAAAACAAAGTGTATTCACCTCAAAAGAAATATCTATACAACTGGTCCAACTAAAAGAGAAACAATGCCTTAATGCATAATATAAGAATTAAGATATGCACACATACACATATAAATAAGCAATTCTTCTATTAATAAGTATAGAGAGATTTTCAAATAGTAAAGTACAAAAATATATTTGACAAGGTGACAAAGAAAGTATATATGAATGTATTGAGGTGCAAGGAAAAAAGTATGAGAACATTGGTGTAAAAAGGCACGGTGCCAGAAACTTACTTAGCTTCCTTCAGTATTTCAGCGGCTCCAGCACTGTTTGCATTCCGACCCTATTGAACCCAAGACTGCAGTGAGCTTTCCTGCCAATGTGAAGTTTTGTAATGTGGCAGTGTCATCTGCAGTGGAAGGGAATTAATATCTAGGCTGAAGCAAATTCTAAGGAACCAAAACAGGACTATATATATTTCATTCACAGAGGGAGATTTTTACATCTTGAAATTTCAAAAGCATCCTTCCAATATTAGGATAGTCCTTACACTGGGAAGCCTACGTTGTAAATTCCTTCCAGACCATCACATTGCGAGCAGTCTCCACCAGAGCCTAAATGAGTAGAGAAACATCACAAGTTTAAAAAATAAATAAATAAAATATAATTATATAATTATAATTACAATTATAGGAATAGAAAAGCAGTATGGAATATATATAAGCAAACCATATATAAAAATAAAAATAAAGCTTTGAAAGCAAACCTCTCTGTGTAATTGATCAAAGATATTCAGTATGCCTACATCAAGCTTTTGCATGATAAAACGATGAGAAAGAGTCAAGAGTCAGATCATTGACCATCTTCACTCCAACCTTTTGAGTCTTATATCCAAACCATATATAAAGGTTATACAGAAGTTGCAAGAGGTACAAATATAATGAACAAAAGTAATTTATACGTTTTACCCATACTGCTAGAGGTTCATCTCTTTCTAGCAATGGAGGCTCACATAGCTTGGTTTCCCTTCTTGGTTATCATTCGGGTTCCCACTTTCATTTGCATTTAGAAATGACTTAGAGCTTTCCACGGCCAGCCCAGGACCAGCAACATGAGCCTGTACCTCTGTGTTTTCATCTTCGGAATCATGGGAATCAGATGACAACTTTGGGCCATCCTCCTCAAATTCATGATATGCATTCGCAGTAAAGTGCTCTTCAGAAGTCTGCATGACCTCAATGGTTCATTGAACTCCATCTTGTGTTTCTTTCTGAGTCCCTTCCACATTAATTACCATCCCATCAACTCTTAGATCTGCGGTTTGAACTTCTGCTGTGAGTTTCACACAATTTGGCTCGTCACCATGCATGAGACTCGTTCCCACATCCTCTTGAGTGCAATCAGATTCTCCAACATAATGTACACTGGGAAAGCACTTCCATAATTCCATATCAGAATCTTCACTACTACACAACGCCTATCCACTTTTACAAATGCACAATCTGTAGAATATGATCCATGTTCCACTGATGACATTGGTTAAAGAGCAACAGCACGAATGAAATCTTGTTGAAAAATGTAAAGTAAGCTACATGGCATTATGTAAAAGTAAAATGAAGTCATGCATTCTGCCACCCAAAATTGCAGCAGCTAATCCCTGCAACATAATCTCCTACCTCACAGCAAAACCCAATTACAAATAACAAATGCAACATCATATTCTCTATGAGTTTATTTCACTAAGAATTCAATTTTACCAGAAAATGAAAAAAAAAAAATCAGAATACCAGAAAGAAACAAAAAATTTTAATTCAAACCAAATAAGCACACATATCTTATGCAAAAGAAAAATTCTACATCCATATCTTCCTTATCAACCCCCATTTTCACTTTATCCTCAAATCTCTGTCGTTATATAGCTACGGATGCTAAATCCCGTCGCAATAATGTTTAAAAAACTAGCTTCGTAACACTAGCTACGGATTTGAGAATCCGTCACAAAATTGTTAAAAAGTCTTATTTGTAAGTTTAGCGAGGGAATTGAAACTCCGTCGCTAAAATGTAAAAAAAAAATATCTCGCTTCATGAATTTAGCGACGGATATAAACATCCGTCACTAATTTGTAGCCATTAAAATTTTGGAATAAACCTGCGAAAAATCCGTCGCAAATCTCTCTCTAATTTTTGCGCTAAAATTTACCGCTAAATTTAGCTACGTATTTAATGACGGAAATATTGCGTCGCCATATCCATCGCAAATCCGTCGCAACTCCGTGGCTAAATGTTCTTTTAACAAAAAAAATAAAATCTGTCACTAATTTGTCACTATTCCGTCGCTAAATTAGCAACGGAAAGCGTCCGTCGCTAAATCCGTCGTTATTTTCGCATTTTTTTGTAGTGCTACTCTTCTTTTCTAGAGAGAAGATAGAGATATTTTTCTAGGAATTGTAGGGAATGAAATGAAGAAATCTTCTAGGTTTAGATTACAACACTAGCTCTTGGTGAAAAGACAAGGATACCCTTACTAACTCTTAGAAAGTGTAAGGAACAAGGGAACTCCTCTCAAAGCACAAGGTACAACACAACTTAAAGATTGACTAGTCAAATACTAGTCCTTGAGTATTAAAAATCAGGATTTTAGGAATCAATTCCTCAAGAGAAATAGAATTAATTACTCAATTAATTCATGGATTGGAGTGTGGATTTTTGGGGTGTCACATAAAGAGAGTGAAGGTTTTTAGGTTTCAAACTTGAGGGCATGGTTAGTTAGGAATGAGATCAGGGTTTCTAAAGTTGCAACTTAGGAAATAAGGTTGCCACTTTGTAAGGAATCATCTGCGCTACGGTGTCAAGAATGAGTTTCGGAAGGGTAGGATGGGTTTCTCAATAAAACGATATTCGATAGGCAAGGAAAGGGGAGGAATTCGGCCAGAATGGGGCTAAGGACTCTCGGCTTCGAGCGATTATTCCTGTTTGAAGCTTGATTGTGACAATAAGACGAACTGTTGGTCCTTTTTCTTTAGTTTTGGCTTCGTTTGACCCTAAGATTCTCGTTGATCTTTTCTTCCCCCGTTGAAGTCTCCTCCGTTTCTATTGCTTTCGAAGGAATTTTCGTGACGAATTTTTTGCATAATCCTTGTGTTGGTCCCGATAGGGTGGTGAAAGTCTAGAGGGGGGGGGGGTGAATAGACTTTCAAGCTTTTTCAAATTAAATAACTCTTCGGTAACTTCAACTCTAAGTAACAAGTAAATAGAGCAAGTTTGTACTGCACAGCGGAATAATAGTAAAGAGTTATGCCCAACTAGTAAATTAAGTGTGCAAGTATAAGTAAGATAGGTACAAATGATATGTAAAGTGACAGAGATATCTTGAATATATAAAGGTGATGGTGCACTCAATATATAATAACAATATTCAAGATTGTAAATAAATATCGTGTCATGTCATCCGTGTGACGAATGTTACATGCAGCACGTCAAACTTGCTTAGAATAAATTAGTATTTAAGCTCGAGAAGTTTGAGTCACATGCATACGTGAGAACACACTAAACCCGGATGATTAAGATTAACTGTGAATAGTAAACGGTTTAGTCGGATGAGATAGATAGATATAGGAAATAATGTAAGTGCGGTATGTAAATGAGAGAGGCAATTTATAGTGGTTCGGAAGTGGCGTAATCTTCCTAGTCCACTTTTCTCCTTTCACGTCTAGGAGAAATTCACTATTTTCCACACACAGTTACAATAGTGAACAAGTGCTACACAGGCACTTCTTCCGGATGTTTTGCACACAGCTACACTCAACTTCCGAGTATTTCGCACACAGCTATACTCAACTCCGAGTATTTCGCACACAGCTATACTCAACGCCAACTAAGTGTCTTGCACACAGCTACACTTAGCAACTACGAGTGTTTTGCACACAGCTACACTCACTAGAGTATTTTGCACACAGCTATACTCTTTCTACAATTTACAAATACAAGGATTTGTATTTCTCTCTCCAACTAGATTTGAGACTATTCAGACTAAGTCTCTTAGAATATTTTGAGCACTAGCACTTTTGAATTTTGCACTTGTATTGCACTTCTATCTCGTTCACCTCTGCTTCTTCTTCAAGTCTTCATGGCTTTTTATAGTTAATCAAATATATCCGTTGGAGTAGGATAATTTGATATTTTGAAATTTGAATCTTCATAGCCTGATATTGTTGACAGTAGTAGATCTTCAATTTTGATTTGATTTGTCAACTTGCCTGACAAAGTAATTCTTTAGCACAACTTTGATTTTCTAGTTGTTTCTAAAAATATTACTTTAATTGTCAATTTGAATATCCAACGAATCTTTGAAATAAATTCATCTGATAGAATTTATTTCTAGGATAAGTTTTTATATTCATGCCTTCATAAATATTTTTCCGTTCTGATCAAATGTCTTTCAGGCAATTTTAGAGTCTTGTGGCATGTGGGTGGACTTGGAGTAAATTCCTTCGAATTTATCCAATTTCTGATCATCTTGCTCTTTTGCCACATTGTGCTCCTTTGACTTGAACATCGTGCTCCTTGACTTTGAACATTGTGCTTCATCGTGCTCCTTGACTTTGAACATTGTGCTTCTTTCGATACATTGTGCTCTTCTGACAACATTGTGCTTCTTAGACAACATTGTGCTTCTTAGGTGGCATTGTGCTCTTCTGACAGCATTGTGCTTCTTAGGTAGCATTGTGCTTCTTAGGTAGCATTGTGCTCTTCTGACAGCATTGTGCTTCTTAGACAACATTGTGCTTCTTAGGTGGCATTGTACTCTTCTAACAGCATTGTGCTTCTTTCAGATTTGGTCACATTGTGCTCTTTTAGTAAGCATCGTGCTCCTTCGGACACATTGTGCTCCTTTAGCACACATCGAGCTCCTTCAAAATCTGCCTTATAAAAAACATAGGTCCTTGGGGGGAATTGAACTCGGGTGTGATTGTTTAAAGTAAGGACCTCTAGCATTTCACCGTTAGGCTCATCCGGTCATTCCTTGCAACGCCATTGCTTTATGCTTCTTTAACGGATGAATACTCGTAGGACCAAAATTAATTTCTCAAATTAATTTTGTTCTTCCTATGGTAGATTCCTTCTGATTTCAATATTCTGATTTATGATGCTTGTACTAAAGACTTAAAAACTAAGGGGATCTAAAGATACATTTGGCTCATCAAAACTTACAAAAATATTCCTATCAATTTTCCCCCTTTTTGATGACGCCAAAATCTATACTCAGTCATTTGGCTTGTCTTTTAAAACAATTATTTTTCAAAAGATTTTATTTTCATTGACATAGCCAAGATGAGTTTAACAAATGATTTTGACTCTAGGAAAGGTATTTTTAGCCACTATATTCCTATTTCGCATTTTTGGAATTTTAATGAATTTTTGCATTTTTCCAATTCATGCGATTTGATACACTCTAAGCTAAAAATATTACCTTTCAAGACAAATAATAAAATTAAGAAACAACTTAATAGCATCATAAATAGATAATTCAAATCATTCCAAATTGTTTCATGGGTTCATGTACCCGTGGACCACAAAAATTGTACCAATCATACAAATCATCTAATCACTTTGTTACTCTTTTCCTTGAGCACATTGTTAATATGGTTCTGAACATCAACGAAATTGTCACTAATGGCAAAGTTGTTGCATACCTGCCCAACTGAATAGTAGTTGAAAGCTTCAGTGATGTTGCTCCCGGGCAGTATACCTTCCTCATACCATATGATGCACTCTTCTAGACTTTTTCCATCTTGTAGCTCGGCATCATTGACTTTGATGTAGTCCCTTAGAACCATAATCATCAAGGCTCTAGCATAGCTTTGAATTCTTCTGAAATTTTCACTTGAA